GAAATCGATTTATATGTATTGTTACTCCTTCAAACAACCTTATAAACAAGACAAGCATATCATTAGAACCGCTAGCTCTATTGGAGGCATTGTTCTCCTACTTATATTTGTTGATTTAGTCTACCAACTCGACATGTTGATTATAAGTCGAATACGAAATCAATTATCGCACCAGCAAATTATTTTTACACTTGTCATTCACCTACAGGTCAGGGTTCGACAATATGATGTCATCAAAATCATCACACTAGAATTTCCCTTCTCTTTTGTCTATTGATAATTCTGTTATGATTTTCTCAGCGAAGGTTCGTTCCTGTTTCAATGTGTTTTTTTTTATCAAAAGATAATTGCATAGATTAGTGTATTGTGTCAGTCAAACGATAGAACATCCATCAACATTTGTATGGTAAAAAACTTATTCAAGACAACAACTTCCATCGATAAATAGGAATTATGATAGTATTGAGGAAGTTACAGAGAAACTCAGCAAAAGCTATACTGATGTTATATGAATAATGATAAACAGAATATAGAAAAGTGACAAATGAGAATTGCAAAGAGTCAAAGAACGACAACAAATCAAGGACCGTATTAATAGAGAGTACTAACGAGAATCATTAGAGAAAAAATCGAACAAATCGACACGTTAACTTTGAGATAAAATTTTATTACAGTAAACAAAATATCGTATGATTCATACGATGTTTCACTTGACCAGAGATCAATAAACAAATTGTTGACAATAGTTTCAGTTGTATGGTTCATTATATAACGAGAATTTTCTAGTAGTGCAGATATCGGTAAAGATCGATTCGATGTACTCAAAGGTCTATCACGTAATGGATCGAGACTAATAGCATATCCTCGTTCGAAATCAGCTAGATAGTCTGCAACGCATCTTACTAGCACCAAGAAAGAACATATAGTAGCGCCACTTTTGTGTTCTGTTTCCTGTTTTGTTGACAATCTATACAAAGCAAACTTACGCCTTTCGAATATCAGGGTTTTTGGCTCTTTTGCAAACGGTGAAGGTTTTTTTCTTATGTTGTGCTAGAACCAAGTATCGATTGCGATCATGAAAAAACAAGTAACGTTCATCGGAAACTGATTCACATCGAATCGAACCTTCAATGTTTAGCAGTATCTCTATTAAAATATAGTTAACACACCTACAACAGAAACATGGATTCAAAAGAAAGTCCATCTCGGAAAATTCTTTTATTTTTAATGGATTCTTCGAATATATATTACGAAGCTATTCGGTAGAACGGTAAAAGCCTTTTTGAATAGATATCTTAGAGAGTTTTGGTTGAAATTAGAGGATGTGGGTGTTAGTGTGAGTTTTGCTGTGAAACTTTTCTTCACCCATCCACACTCTCAAGCAGAAAGAGTAGTAGAGAAAACTTTCATTACATCCAACAATAATTGTTTTTTTTTAAGTATTTCAATGCGTTTGAACAAATTTTTCACTTAAGATTGGTAAAAATAAAGATCTTAAATCTAATAAATTGTACATTCATAAACTCACCCGATAAAACACTGTTCTACATATATATCCTATTATATAAAGTTATAAAAATCCACTATGATCTATTCATTCGAATTATTGTAATAACTTTACAATAGCCATGTACGACAGTTTTGTATGCTAATACACACACACTTATGAAACAAGAAAGCAAGAAGAAAATGGAACTTGCATTTTGTACGGGGTAGCCCCGTTGAATTTATGAGTCAAACGTATGTTTGAAAGAATTGTTTTTTTTCTGTCATTGACTATAAATTTAAATGAATTTAAAGCAGCAATCATGACGACAGAAAAGAAAAAAAAACATGCGTAACACGTTGCTTTGCTGTTCACTCGTTGAATAAACATTACCATTAGAAATCAGATTCATATAGATCATACAATAGTTTGCGCATTTTTTTAAACATCCAAAAAAAATCCATCCATCTTGGTAGCAAAGTGAAGCAAAGTCATCATTGCGTCACACTCTATAATAGTGAACGAATGGCAAGCACTGATATTGACACGATTAACATTGTTCTTAAACGAATAGAGAATGTATCAGCAGATGAATTAGTCTGTCCAATTACATTTGAACGCTTTCATGATCCTGTAATTGCTGGTGATGGACATATTTATGAACGTGCTGAAATCATACGATGGATTAGAGAAAAAGGAACAAGTCCATTAACAAGAGAGCCTCTTCATCTCAAAGATATACGTAGAGATGAAGCAGTATGTGAAGCTATAACTCATCATTATGCAAGTAAACCATTCAATTTGAGAAAGCCACTACTACTACTCAGCTCTCAAGAACGAAGAAGACAGCGACGACTAAGACGAACAAGTAATCCTACTTCAGATATTAATCATGAACTATCAAGAATTTCTACAATAGAACAAAATATTCCATTACCGACACCTATTGTACCAAATCACCGATTTCTACCAATACAATCTTATAATCCTATACCAAGACGTAACTTTCGATATGAAAGAACTATAAAAGACAAATGTTCTGACCTGTGTGATTCCTGTTTAGTATGCTGTAAAAATTGCTATCATTGTTGCAGAAAAGATTCATCATTCGTTTGCAAGTGTTCGTTTTGGGTGATCTTTATCTTCCTCGTCATATTCATCCCATTAATAGTATATTTCATGAAAGTGAAAAATTCTACCTATTGTAATGGCATAACAGGAGTTATGGGTATGTAATCAAAACTAAATTATATTTTATATATATCATCGGTATAATCTTTGTCTCACTCGATTGTACCATAGAATATTAAACACATTACCGATGACTATGTGTCGACATTTAAGTCTAATACTTTGGCGTAACTTTTCAGGTAGCTTTCATTTATACTTCTATCATAAATTGAAAAATAACAGCACAATATAATAGAGTCGTTTTAGTCGTAAAGTGTAGAAGTAAAGCAGTATATGTCGGTTTTCAAATTTTTCTCAAACGAATACTATAAAATATAAACATGAGAAGCAAAAACAAACCGATTAAATAGTTTGATTCCAAAATGAAAACTTACAATATGTTTGTACTATTCATTTATCCTACATTGTATACAATCAATTGACATTTCCTTTTTAATGTCTCTATTTCAGGATTGAATTCATGCTCGATCAAAGACCAAAAGAATAATAATAATTACATTAAACTAGGCAAAATATCTACTCCAGTAAATCGATATAGATTCTATTCATATACGTACAAGGGAAAGTCGAACAAGGATTCAATAGTTTTTGAATTTCAAAGTGGTTCAGAATGGTATTTAGATGATTTGTCAGCAATTGATATATTGACCAACAGAACAGTCATTGAAAACGGTAGTTTTGAAGATGGTACATTAAATGAATATTGTGTTTGTGGTTCAGCATTGGTAATCAGTGTTTTGAATGGATCAATTGTAAATCGTGGAAACTACTCCTGTAGTGTTTCGACACAGTTATCTAATGTAAATATTTCTCGAGCGATCAATACGATTAACGGACGTTCCTATGTTGTAAACTTTTGGCTATATAATCGGCATGACAATGATCGATTGGTTACTATTTATATTAATACAGCATCAACTATGAATTGTCGCTTTATCCAATCAAATCTTTCAAGATTTATTCTAATTTTGATTAGCAAATGGTTTTTTTGACTGTTTTAGAATTCATTTGAATAAGCAGCCATGATCGATTTTGACCTTGCTTAAAGGTCTCATCAGATGGCATTATTCAAATTCATCATCATCATCATAAATGACGATGAAACTGCAATCAATCCCTATAAAATAGAGGAGATACAGTGTTAAAATGTATAACTACATTAAGAACATGCCACCTGATGAGACTCTTAAGCAAGATCGAAACCAGTCATGGCTGCTTGTACTTATTGAAATTAGACAGACTCTTGTCTTTTTATTTTAAAATGAATATGAATATTTCATTTGATGATTATTCTCGCTTATAAAAAAAAATATAATCTTTAATAATTTGCTCTTTAATTATTGGACATTCATTATTTTCATATTAATTTTGGAAATATATGTTTTCGATAAATCCTCAGCCTATGACAAAACATAAAATAACTTATTTTGAAAATAGTTTATAACCTTGAGTTATTCGTACACCGTTAGCTGTTATAGTTACATTTTGAATTTGTTCTCCCGTTTGTTCATCTATTTCGATCGTAACCATTAGCGTTATAATACTATATTGCCATAATGCAACTAATTTATGTGGTTGAATATAACCAAAACCATAAACATTAAAATCAATTTTTTTTTTGATTGAACAAATCTTTTTGTTACATTATCTGATAAATCTAATGTAATTAAATACAGTATAATCTTGTTTAAAATTATAAGCATGATAGGTAAATAATTGTGTTTGAGAATTAAAATAACTTTCAGGCATTGGTGATATACGATTAAAAAGTTGCATAACTTGTCGTTTTATTTCTAAGGTTTCTGTATCAACTTCCTACTAAGGAATAATTTTGTTTTGTTGAATCATGTATAATTGCATATAATTTATTACTCATTGGATTAAATTGTATATGATCAATTATAATACGTTGAATTTGTTCTGTTTGATCAATTTGATTAGTTTTGATATTATATTTTAAAAACTTCGATATTATCATGAAGTGTTTGTTACATTAAAAAATAAATAGTTTCATTATTTTTATCGTAAGTATAAGTGTCGATTCGATTATATAATCCTCTAACATATTTTGATGGATAATTATTAATTTGAAATGTAGTTAATGTTTTTGGACGATCTGTAGTATTTTCATTTTATGTTGTTACTGAATAATCATTTATTGTTATCCAATCCAAACAAATTAATGACAATAAAATCAGGCACAATAAATAACTTTTCATTGTTATCACTAGTCTCCTTTCTTAAATGATATCGTTTTTAACAGTTAAACGTGCTTTATCATTCTTATCAATATGCTAAGTTTCTCATGTGTTAAAGAAGAAATAATATTCCGTATTTTTTTGTTATTTGAAGCCTTCATATCTCAAAGAGATTTCTATAGAAACATTTGACATAGGAATAAGATGAAGACAAATTAATTATTTTTTAACAAAAAAAAATTTATGATGACTTGTGTGTTTAGTTATCGACAGAAATTTCTTTTCGTTTTAATCACTATTAAAATAATGATTATAATGAACGGGTTTTTTCACATTAGTTTTGAACAAAAGATTTTGTTTCTCATAGATTCTTTTCAATATAATCCATAAGCTATATTGATCATATGATTGGTATGTGAACGATTAATTGCAACAAAGAAAGATTTTCGAAATATTTTTCTGAAGGATAGCTTTTGACAAAAAGAATGTTACTTTTAGTTGTATGAAAAGTCTTTTGATATTTCAAACGCATTGACATGCCTGAATATGACGTAAAAAGACATTTATCTAAATGTTTAGTTATATTGAAGAGAACAAAATATACTTTCGAAAAAATGAAATCCATTTATTGCGTGTGTTCCTTATTTGGCAAATTTATAAAAAAAAACCAAGTTGTTCAAGTGGTATCAGGGTTTTTCTTATGATTAATTGATCAATAAGCCCAAATTCGTTTCATGTGCAAATCTATATGAATTAGTGGTTTACAGGCATGAAGAGATTGACGTAAAATAATTTGTAATACTTTGTTAAAAAACATTTTTAACGTGTGTTATGATCAAGAAAAAAAGGTGACATGTATCAGGTTAAGCTGCTAATTTGTATAGATTTTTACATCAAAAAATAACCAAACTCGATTTGTACAGAGTACTGTCGCGTTAAAAAGAGATTGATGAATTTGGTCAACAGAACGTTGAAATCTATCACAGTGCATAATAAATAGTCTACCATAATATTCATTAAAAATCTTAAAGTATACTACTGTCATACATACCTCGATCATCTCTATTCTCTTTTCTTTGATTATTTCTCTATTCTTCTGATATCATATATTCACTTCGATTCCTCCTTTGTTTGTCCTCGATTGACTCTTGCGCATCTTTCTCTTGTGTCTTTGTTTTCATATTCGTATCTATACACTTGTTGTTTATTACATAAACGGAGAGAGATAAAACGAAAACAACATCATCATATCTCTTCTTAACAGAAAATATAGACGAAAATTTGATACACAACAGAAGAGTTAAATAGAATTGGAACCTTCGAAATCATTTTTCTGCTATAGAACAAAATATTGCACAAACATAGATGTGTACGTTGGAAGCGAGTATATTACTGCTGAAAAAAATATGAAAGATGCAGATCTTTCATCATTACTCGTTCCTATCAATGAATATAACTACTTTCGACTACCATTTATGGAACATCACTTGCTTCTCGTTTTACCAATCGTTGCTGCAAAACATTTTTTTCTTAATTATTAAATATAAACAGACTACACCGTCGTGCATTTGTATTAAGAGAATTATATCTTGACAAGCTAAAGTACAATCGTAGCAAGCATCATACAACATACAAGATTCATATATAATTCTAAACTGAGGATTAGACCTGTTATAGAAATAATTCTCGAACGAATTGTTTGTTTGATCAGAGCGCATGTTTAATCACGTCTGAAATGGTAATCACGTCCAGCTTTCATGTAAGGCGGATCTTTCTGGTTTTTTCTGATATTTTTCGTAACCCAACTAAGGCTCATGGCAACAAAAGCCACTTTTTTTTTCAATAAGTACATCTCTGTAGAAGCTATTATGAATTAAAAGAAGTAGTATTTTATGATCGGAAATCTTAATTGTACCGATAGAAATTTGCTTTGATAAACAGCTCCACGAATCTGATGATAATACATAATGTAATTTAATAACATAGCAGTAGACATCCTTGTAAAAATGAAAACCAATAAATTTTCAGTTTTACAAAAAAAAATCGACGGTTAGAAAGCAAAGATATTCTTGGCTTAAAGCATGACGGCTTTTAATAACAATTTCATTACTCTAGACGAGTATAGAAATTTATTGTTATGAAATGAATTATAGCTTTATTTTTTCAGATTATCAAAGTTTTCATTGACATCTTGTTGCCATGCCTTAATAAATTTCTCCTTCATATCATTTTCAATAACAAATGTCACTTCAACTCCATCTCGATCTGCTGTTATCCATTGTGTGCCATCGTACACTGGATCAAGACGATATACACATAGAGACAATCTACCGGCCCATGTCATATAATAATGACATTTATCTCTATAGCCAAAATCGACAAGGTTTGTCCAGTTGTATTTATAACTGGAATTGACAAAAATATTGTTCGAAAAAATGACCATATTAGGTAATTGTTTATCCTGTACCATGTGTCTTATCAGTCCATCGGTAGTTGCCAGATATGATTCCAAAAATTTCGGATTATTACGTAATTGAACAATAGAACGACAAATTGTTTGGGAAATATTCGAGAGTGACAATGAACCATCGAAATCATTCGACATCATAATATAGACAGTGTTGACAACAAGATCAGCCGAAGCGATGGAATCTGATACACCACGAATATCGACAACTGTACTTGTGTGCAGAATGCGTCGTTGATCGCCATTTGGATAACAATAAGTATTAAGTGTCAAAATGATGTAAGACACAAGTGCTTGAAGAATAAGCAACCATGATCGATTTCGTCCTTGCTTAAAGAACTCATCAGATGACATTATTCAAATTCATCGTCATAAAATAACGACAAAACTGCAATCAACCCCTATAAGATAGAGGAGATACAGTGGTAAAATGTATGACTACAATATGAATAAGCAGCCATCTGATCAGACCTTTAAGCAAGGTCGAAACCGATCATGACTGCTTATTTATTAAAAGTATCAACAATTTCTACTATAATACGATCAAAAAAATCTTTCTTTCTACTAAATTGATTACAAAAGAATGACTATTTAGTAGTAATTTTTCATCTCGTCAATATCAATATTTAATTCAACAATATCGATATACTCAAACAATGTCCTTTACTTAACGAAAAATTAAGATCTTTCAATTTTATTGTTTATAAGTTTAATCAAATCGAAGTTTTCTAGTGCTATAATCTTATATTGGTCGTAGAAAATCTTTCATTCGAACTTATCTATCTTGTTTGTCATTTTTTGACAGCTGTTATTCAATGCAGGTATAAGTAATAATAGAAACTTTCTTATTAAAATGCAACTCTTATCAATTTAGAGAACTCAATAGAGTGGCTTTCAGATACGAAATGAGTCTTTAATTTCTTCTGACTTGTGCTTTTAGTGTCTTTATTGGAATGAAGTCCTAGTCTTACGAGGGAAGATAAAGCATTCTTCCTCATGGGATGGATGTGGGTGTGAAGAGTATATCAACAAATCCATACCCAACACCCACACCCACACCCTTTAATAAACCGAATGGTAAAATAAAAAATATAAAATTTTTTATTTACTTATATAGGAGCTTTCAACACTGCTTGTGTAATTATCAGTTTAATGAAAGAATTTTACAACAGAAGATATTTATATAGATTAATATAAAGTTCAAAGTCCAATGAATCATTACAACTCGAATTTACGCATATGCAAATACCAGTGTATTTTTTTCTCATTGCAACAACACGAAACGCAAAGCTAAGTGAAAAAAAGAGGAAGAATATATGAAGAGCGCAATACATATGATGAAATGCACACGGATGAAAAAAATTATCTATCTGATGAAAAAGTTATGCTTCATTGATTCACGTAAACATACGTTGGTGGGAAAAAAC